ATACATTTTGAAGTTATTTGCTATGCAGCAAAAGATAATTAATACAGTGTCTGGCTCGTAGTAAGCTCCTAATAAATATTTATTGAAGGAAGGGCTAAATGTGGACCAATTTCTCACTAGATTACTCAGTGATCAAATAGAATATCTGTAATTAACCTGAACAAAACCATATAAAAATCCATTTGAGCAATAGGAACATTGGTTGGAAGTCTCAAGATACAGGCTTGAGTTTTAGATCTGCTGCGTATTTGCTATTTGACCTTGTATAATTCATTTATAGTCTTTGATTCTTAGTTTCCCTGATGTGTAAACTGCAAATAATAAAAATTAAAATTATTCCACTAATAATACCTCCTGCCTGGCAGAGCCTTGTTGACATTGTGAACTTCTGGATCAGACCTGTGCTGAAACCCAAACACTACAACTGGAATTTTCCATTATGGGAACCAATAAATCTTTACTAGTTAAGTAAGTTACAGTTGTTGGTATTACTTAAAAACAAATGCATCTTTATACAAAGCATCAACACTAACATATAAAAGAATAGCCAAAAAAAAAAAACCAAAAAAAACAAAACCCAACAAGATGGTATGTAATGGGTAAGATGCTACGTATTAGACAAATATAACAGAAGAAAGGGATATTGGACCACCTAATCACCCATTTCTGTAATTGCAAGGACATCCTAATTTGTCTGCTGGGAAAGTCAGGAGGCCTGAGGGGTTCTGTTGCCACAGAATTCTAGTTTCCAAATCTAGCTGGCTTTAAATTTCTTCCCTGTGGTTGCATTTGATAAGTGATTGTGGCTTAGCAGCATCAAATTCATGTTTAAATGCCATGATAAACCAAGGAGCCATTTGTGTTCCAGAGAAGATACTCCAAGTGGACCAGTTATGTTGTACACAGACATCATGAAAACAAGCAGCTGGGACTTTGTGCCTGCTGTCTCAGCCATGGGTCCCCAGAGAGTACACCAGGGTCTTATGGGCCACTTGCCACAATATCATTGCCTTGTCCAAAAGCTCTTCATACTATTTCAAGAGCAAAGGACGCTGTTCTGAGTATGTCATGTAACACCAATAAAAAGCTCATCTTATAGGATGGAGAGTTTTTATTTTCAGGAGCTGAAGAGACAGGAATTTCTGACAGGCCTGACTAGACAGTGTGAACCATGACCACTGTGTAAGTTGTCCTCCTGTGGTGACTTGAAGCAATGGCTTAGATAGTGGAGGCAGGTCTCAAACCTGTTATTAGCATTGGTGTCATTTGCTTCTTAAGTTAGAAGGACTTTAATGGGCAATTTAATTAGCGGCTATTTGCTTTGTAGGTGCAAATAATCTGTAAGTTTTAGCCTTTGCTGCTTGGGTAAATTGATCAATTGATTTTTAGAAGAATTATACAGATAACATTTTCCACCTGATACATTTTTTAATGAAAATTTTGTTTTGTTTGTTTTCTTGGATTATTCCACCAAGTTCAAATCTAGTATTTATTTATATAGCTATGGGACAAGACTGAAATAGCTTCTGTGGGAAAAATTATTGCCATTTCTTTAGGCTAAAATTTTTAATTTGTATCCAGATATTAAAGCAATGCTTTAAAATTTCATTTTGAAGTCATGTTTCCTGTGGCCTTCAACCTTCAGGGCCAAGTTTTGAAGTTTATCAACCTGAGGAAAGCACCAAAGGACAAACTGGCCATTAATCAGGTTTAAGTCTCAGTGCAGACACTTATAAAGACAGTCGTTGTAAGACTCAAGCATTAGGAAAATGAGAATATTTCTCAATCACCTTATCTCATTATTTAGTATTTCAAGGACCATGACTGAAGAACTCACATCATAGGGTTTCTTTCACAAGACAAAGATGATAACCATTCCACCTCTGGAGGGAGATCAATAGGCTTGCTGACATAGGGAGAAAAGGAAACTAGAGAGGCGGTAAACAGCCCACTGGACCTTTGTGGTTAGGAAGGCTGGAGGTCTTGATAGCTTATGAGAGGATATATAGGCTGATCCAGGGTTCAGATGCCATGTACTCAGCCCTCCTCACACACTTCTTCCGGGTTGAACTTTGATGGGATAGGGGGTTGGTTTAGAAACAACCAGATATGACTGAGGAATTTTGAGGACACTGAGGTTAGTGTCTCAGCATTAGAGAGAATGTAGACTCCTTGGGAAACTATTCCTTAGCTTAGGTCCATGTCCATACTGGCCTTAAGAAGATGGCAAGAAGGTGACAATAGAAGGTGACTTGTTCTTCATGGTCCTTGTCAGCCAACGGGTGGCAGTATTTGAGAACATCAAAACTGTAGTCAAATGAAAAGAATCACACACTCCAGTAGCCAGACAGGACAAAGTTAATGAGGACCCATTCTGCCACAGAGATATCAGGGAGGGTCCAGAGAACAATGAGTCCATCTGAGGACCCCCTTCCCTTTCAGTCACCATGAGGTCTCATAAGCTGCACTCTTACTGCTATTATTCACTTGATACACGTGGTCTGGCCATATTGGTAATTTATGACAAAAGTCTCTTCTAATTAATACCAGTTGTTAAATATTAGTATTGTTAATATTATTCCTCTATGTATCCCATATTCCCTGAAGCTATCTTAGAGGGAAACTCTGAACTCTCAAACATAGAGAATTCAAAAAGGCTGATCATTTACCTAAAGAGACTGCTAAATATTTGGATGAGACTAAACACATCAGGCTGGACCAAAATTAAATTGTCCTTCCTTTTGCCACTAAGTTAGGTGGGGAAACCCATAAAGGGGGTCAGATCAAATGATTAGATGTAAACAAACTATATTTTTTTATATGAAATTTAGTATATTAGCAACTTTGTAACAAATGATAGTGTATAGGAAATGGAGGCTAACTAGGGATTCCCATCACGACTTAAAGCTGTTAGTGAGCTAAGTTACACACAGGCAGGGATTTTTGTGTTTGTTCACAGCTGTATCTTCAGTGTTCTAGAGTAAGTGTCTGGCACATGGTAGACACTCGATGGGTATTTGTGGAAAGAATTATAACAATAAAGCAAAACAGACTTGCAAAGCGCTCCCTAAGAATGCCGATACAATTTCAACAAAAGCAGTGTGTCACAGAGAGTCTGTTGGGAACCAATCTCTTGGTTGAGGAAATATTTCCATATATGACTCTTTTTGTTGTTGCTATTTTCAAAAATCATATAATTTAAAATTTTCAAATATTGTAAAATGTTTAACATTAAAAAGTAAATTTAAAAAAATTGGGAGGGCACAGTTGCTCATGCCTATAATCACAGCACTTTGGATGGCCAAGGCGGGAAGAGCTCTTAAACTTAGGAGTTGGAGATCAGCCTGGACAACATGGCAAAACCCTGTCTCTACAAAGAAATACAAAATTTAGCCAGGTATGCTGGTGGCGTGCATGTAGTGCTAGCTACTCCAGAGGTTGAGGTGGGAGGATGGCTTGAACCTGAGAGGCAGAGGTTGCAGTGAGCCCAGATCACACCACTGCACTCCAGTTTGGGCAACAGAGTAAGACCTCTCTCAAAATAAAATAAAATAAAATAAAATAACAAAACCAATCTACAGTATTGAAAGTCAATATTTATTGTTATGTCTGTGAGGCAGGTGTTTTGATTAGAAGAGGCCATGAAAGGGGCTCCATGTAAACTTGAACTAGTCTATGGTTTAGCCATAATATTGATTATACGGAGGTGTCCACTGAAAATTTGACAAGCTGTATACCTATAACTTGTCAATTCTTGCATTTATATTACACATCAATAAGTTTAAAATTATGTCATGATTTGCATCATTTACATACTTAAGTGAATTCTAAAAACCAAATAGTATCATTGTAAGTTTTTAAAAATTCATGTTCTTAATTATTCTGCAGAAAGTTTGTACCAGTTTTGACTTTCACAAACAAACATAAAAATGCAATTCATTTGCATTCTTTTTAATACTACCATAATTTTCATAATTTTTAATAATTTTATGTAAGAAAAATTAAGTATATACTTTTCTCTCCAACTTTTTATTTGAAAAATTTCAAACTTACAGAAAAGCTGAACGAGTAATGTAATGGATACCAATATATCCCTTATTAGATTCACCAACTCTTTAACTTTTTGCCTTACTTGCTATCTCTCTGTTTCTATTTACACACACGTATATGTGTATACATATGTACACACATCTATTTATCTGCATATCTGAGCTATTTTTAAAGAAGTTTTAGATATCATAATTTATACCTTAATGTACCACTTGAGAGTAAGAATATTTTTCTACATAACTACAATACATTTGTCATTATACTTCTATATTGTCGAGTAATGTCTGGTCCATGTTTATAGTTCCACAATTGTTCCACTACAGTCTTTTCTAGCTGATTAAAAAACAGGATTCAATAAAGTTCATTCACATGTTGCATTTAGCTGTTTTATCTCTTCATTTTCTTTATCTAAAATGGTCCCTTCTCCCTTCATCTCCCCCACCCCCACCTGGCTTTTCATGATATTAAAATTGTCCAGGATTAGGCCACTTGAAAACCTCCTGTTTGTCTTCAAATATGTATGGCCGTGGTTAATTCTACAAGCTCATATCGCAAAATTATTATAGGTTTTCGGAAGCACATGTATCAACAACTGTAACAGATTTTCATTTTTGGCTACTGGCTAGTCAGAGCAAGTCACTGGATCTCCAGCCAGGCACCAGATGTTTTTATTGAGGGGCAAAAAAAGAGCATTAAGAGCTTTTAAATCTTACATTACTAGTTGGATCATATAAGAAATAATTGTGACATTTCATGTTTGGAAATGTATTGTGGGGGCTTTCCTTCATATTGACACTATATATTACTGAATGGATCAGTTGATATATAACCAGTTTAAAGGACCTGAAAATGTAGTGACAGCCAAGAAGGATATTTTGAAGTTTGAAATGATCCCTGTATAAATAGAACGGATCAGCATAACTTTGGGATAAAATTAGCCGACAGTTTGTGGACTCTCCAGCATGCGCCTGTTTGCTTGGTGCCGCTCTCTTGATAAATCACAACAAAGCTTCCAGAAGGAGAGGAAGGATGGACGGCACCACTGCCCCTGTCACTAAATCTGAAGCTGCCAAGTTAGTTAAGAGAAATTTCCTGGAGGCTCTAAAGTCCAATGACTTCGGAAAATTGAAGGCTATTTTAATCCAAAGGCAAATAGATGTGGACACTGTTTTTGAAGTCGAAGATGAGAATATGATTTTGGCATCTTATAAACAAGGTAAAAACATATAGGTGTTTTTGTAAAACTGGTAGAGAATGAATTTTTTTGAAAAAATGCAGTGTCAGTTATCCACTCTAAACAGTAGCTTTTATTGTTTCTTTAAGTATTTATTTTAAAAATATTTCCAAATTAATATTTTCTTTTTTTAAAATTAGAACACATGGTGGGCTGATATATATATATAATTTGTATCTCTCCTTTTCTTTTCTCACCCTTGTGCCTAGGACTTGAAATCCCAGAAAATAATTTTTAGCAATGCACTCTGTTTTTAATTTTTCTTCTGACTATGATGATATGGAAGGAAGAAAACATTTCTAGATTATGGCTAAGCAGATTGTTGAAACCCTATTTTAGACAATGTAGCTGGTTTAAGAACAGGCTGCTAATTCTCCATTAACAGTCACTTAAAGATATATCTTCTCTATGTCTGTATTTGGAAAAGAGGAATCTCCCCAGCATTTGGAGGGTTAATAAATGGATAAAGCAGTGCCACAGGCACCCTGATGGTCTTCATCATTTTAATAAGTTTTCATTTCAGGCAAAAAAGCTGAGTTCAGCAAAACCAAAAAGTTAACTTTTTTCCTGGACTATAATAATTATTCAATTGTAAATGTATTCAATACAGAATATCTACCTTATAAAGACCTAAGGAAAACAAAAATTAGAACAATTCTTTTAACCAAGAAATTTTCTGGAACCCATGCGTAATAAATCAGAAATAAATTAGAAGTACACTGGTTCTGATTTCCCGAATCAAGTAGTTAATGAGGGGGAACATGAGTAGTTAGGTCATCTGGTAAGCAGACTGCTAACACACTGCTCAACATCACTTCTGTTTAAAACAATATAGATGCTAAGGTCTGTGTACAGCATTTAGAGACAGTCATTATTTGCATGTTTAAAGATATTTTCTGTTCATATATAAATCATCAGTATAATCCATTTCCAGAAACAAATGCTAATGGTACAGTATATATTTATTCATTAATATGTCCCCTGATTGTCATTTCTGAGGAAAGTATAGAAGAGTTGAGGCCAGTTACTGTGTCTATGATTTTTACTCAAAGGCTTTATAATAAATTGGCATTAATATTTTGGTGGAAAGACAAAGAAGGGACCTATTTTTTAAAAGTTTATGGGGTCTCTGTTAGAAAGAAAATTTGTATACTATGTAGTTAGATTGCTTTCATCTTATAACTTTGTTTAGTGAAAGAATGTCTGAGTACCAAACTAATTTTTAAGATGTTTTTAAAAAACTTATATTTGTGCCTAGGGTGAAATAACTCAGGTTCAAGTCAGTGGGTATTTTATTTGACCCTGAGTTGCAAAGACTGCCGTCTCTTATTTCCCAACCAAGCCAAGTTGCACAGATTGTGCGAAGTTCTTAGACTATAAGAAAGGAAGCTTCAGGTGCAGGCTCTAGGGAAGTGAGGGGGTTATTACTCCTGCATCCACTGGTGTTATCACCCTTGAAGGAAAAGAAAATACAATTTAAATTCTTCTTGTCAATATGAGCTGACTCCTTTGGTCTTCATAGAGCTAAATTTTCATTCACATGAATAGAGGTGTTTTCATACTGTTAGGACTATGGGATGTGGCTTTCAATTAAGCAGATAGCAAGTTACACTCTCTGGGAAAGGAAAAGAACAGTTCCATTCTTATATATACCAGACTGATGTTTGCACAGAACTAGTAAGATTTATGGTCTGACTTTTAGGGTTTATGGAGGAAATTTGTGTGTGTGCGTGCATGTGTAGAAAGAAACACACTACTCTGTTTAATATGAATATGAGTATAAGAACTTGTCGCTTTAATCTTAAACTCAGGTTGAAACCTCATCTTTCTTAAAAGTTTCTTCAATTTTTTTTCACATGCTTCCAGCCTTATCACTAATTCTTTTAAACTTAGGAATGGGAAGTTAGAAATGGAAATGATAAATAGAATCCTAGCTGTTAGTAGATCTAAGTGGTTATATCAATTTCTTAAGTCATAAAGTCATTGTTAGGCAGCAGCGTGGAGCTAAGCAGTCTACAGTGGGTAGCTAGTTCCTTTCCAAATAGTTCAAAGGAATAGGACTTATTTCTGTGTGGCCTTGAAGAGTATGTGGCTGGATTTTTGTGAGACTTTATTAAATCAAAGCAGAACTTCTGGATGTTTGATGCTGTTGAACTGCTCCACACTGTTCTTTGATTTTTTTTTTACAGCACTTTTGAAAAGCTTTACACAGAAATGCATAAATAACTGTGTAGCTTGATTACTTTTCACAAAATAAAGAAACGTATGTAACCAGCATCCACATGAGGAAACAGAACATTCCTGTTTAAAGTGTGGGAATCTCCAGGTTTCAGTTATGTTTGGCTTAATAAGCAAGGCAATGTGCAAAACCTATAACATATCTAATGCTACTCTTAAATTTCCTTGTTTAATTAACACTAAAATTCCATATTCAACATTTCGTTGTCCTATAGAAAATAAACAGTAGTACAATCAATTCTAAATCATTCTTATTTCTTTAGAACATACAGCATTTTTATAGGATTTAAAAAGCAACTAAATTTTATCCCTAAATGTACTCCATCTAAGCCTATGTGAAAGTCAGTGTATAATTTTTGAAAAGGGAACTCAGAACTCTGCTGGAAAATAAATTATCTAAAATCTAAATGGTGCTTCCAAATTTACAATCTAGTTGGCACACCAGAAATCAAAAGTTGAGCTCATAAGCAAATATGAAATGTGGATTTTATGAGGAAGATAGAATAAAGCTATTGGATTACAAATATGTCTGGAAGCTCATTTCTGCTTTCCTCTGTAGCACTGGGCCCATCTCATTGAGTAGCTAGCTTCTCTTACCATTTGACAGAGAACAGATTTAGAAGCCGGCCCAGAGTTCATGTTCAAACTGTGAGTCCTGTTCGTCTCCAGCACCTATTCATGATTCTCAAAGTTAGAGAGATCTCACTTTACTTTTCCAAGTTATTTTAAGCTTCATAATAAAATTTTCAGATATAATCATGTTTTGTTAATTTAAAGAAACTTTTCTCACATTTTTTAAAGTGAACGTTTAAAATGTACTGGATGGCATTTGAGAGATCTCCCTGGGAAAGGTGAAGATAACGGGTCTCAAAAGCAAAAACAAGTAAGCAAAAATTGCATTTACCAGATGATCACTTTAAAATAAAAATGATATAAAGAAAACATAAAGAACAACTTTTTAACTGCCAAATGCAATAAGTCATTGAGAGTCAAGGAATGTCAGTGATATAAAATTTATTATGAGTTAAGCACTGAGTATGTAGAGTGAATGCAAGGACAAAAGAAATTTGTAAAGAAAACACAAAGGCCCTTTCTATTGGTTTTCACTGGTGACCTCCATACTGGAAACATGAAGAAATGCCCATAAAACTGTTTCCAAAGGTTTTACCAACTACACAGCTTGAGCTTCCTTCAGATGTATGAGCTTTGTCTCATAAATGATACAAGCAGAATTTCATACTTATCTGTTTGGTAGGAAATTCCCTAGTCAGCAAGGTTATCAGAGTCCTTTTATTAATCAGCGTAATGCACTTTTAGTACTTCGTTTATGGCCCACAGCCACTGATTCCTTGGTTGGTAGTTACATTTTTAATTAAAATAACCAATGAATGATTTCACTTGAAAACTTTCTGGCAGGTATTCTGTCTACTTTACTAAGTAGCAACTTATATCCAAATATCATGAAAGCTCTTATTTCCACTCTCTGAATGAATAATTTCTTTATCACCTAATTTTGCTCTTTGCCAGAAATTTACTCTCCTGTTGTCTCATATCCATCCTACGGTTCTTTTCTTTTCTTTGATGTTCAAACTTTTTTCTTTAAATTTTACACTTCAAGGTTGCTTTTTTTCCCCCCTTCCCAGGGGAACCTTGAGTTATCTGGAAAATATTAGCTATTAAAAAATAGCCAAGAATTGTGCTTCAGTCTGTAATCCTTCAGGACTGTGTAAATACATGGACACAGGCAGAGCAAATGTCTGCTAATCCAGCCACGAGCAGTGTGTGTAACCTTTGGCTGTAATAACAGAGGCTTCTCGTGTGTGGGGTTCTTTGACTCAGATAACATTATAGTTGATAACTGTTGCAGAGCCCAGGCTTAGCTGAAGGTTTACCAGAAATGTGTACATCCTCTGGAGCAGAACCAATCCCTTCTTCCAAAAGAAGGCCCAAACACTTTGCTCCTTGCCATATTTCTAGGCAGCTTTCTACCTAGCTATTCGGGCATATATCTTTGGTTTCAGATTTAAATTAAGCACACACACACACACACACACACACACACACAGGATTAGCCTTCATATTTTTTTCAGGGATAACACTTAAAAAATTTCTTTAGAACTTTTAGCTACAAGTAGTATCAGTTTGGAGGTAAACAGCGTGTAGCCTTTGGATCATAGATGGCTATTTAAAAATTCGGGGCAACCGTGTTTGAGAGTCAGAGTTGATCCTGTCAGTACTTGTTATATGAACATGGATACTTTATACTACTTAACCTCTTCCAGACTAATTATCTTCATTTGTAAAATGAAAGCTTTAACAAGACCCTCTCTAAGTTCAGATTCCTGCATGCAGATAATGAATCACGTTATGAAGGTGAAACTGTGTAAACAGACTGTGTATCACGGTCAAGCCACATGGGCATGGCCTGTATTTGAGAGTTCCTGAGGGTTTTATACATAGGGGAAATAATCCGTATTTTTCTTTTCTTCTTAGTGGAGCTTCTTACTCAAACAGAGCTCTTCTGCAAGAAGCTGTCACCGCACATAGACTGCAGACGTGCGGTAGTGTGCGAGTGGTTTACATTAGAGGGAGGCAGCCGCTGCTTCACCTCCCACCCCCAGCTCCCGTGGGCTTAGTTTCCTAGTTCTGCCTCACCTCTGTCCTTTGCGCAGTTTAAACACATAGTAAAAGGGCAGCCTGAAAAATCTGCAGAGGTGAACAGAGGGAGCCTTCAAAAGACAAATACTAGGAATAAATCACATTCTAGGTTTCAAAGCCCTGGGAAAATTTTGCTGTGGGAAGAAGGTAGTGTATAAAAAATGACTGCCTAATCAGTTCATTGTGTTTCTAGCCTGCTGTAATCATTGGTGGTTATATTTTGGGGGACAAATTCTGATCTCTTGACATATCAGCATCAGCACAAGATCATGAACAGGTGCAGCCTCATCTGTGGTTTTTGAAGATAGCTTTACCTGGGGTTTGGTCCTCCATGACAGTAAGTGTACTTACTTCCACACTTGCTACACAGCAACCTGTGTGTCCAGCCTCATTTTCAAGTGATGATTGTACAGGGATGGCCGTTTAGTCAGGGGCTGCTCTTTTCTCTGCTCAAAGCAGTAGGCTTTCCTGATATGCTCAGGGCTGAATTATTCAAAAATCCCTCACCCGACATTACCACCAAAGTTTTGCAACACAACTTCCATATACATTTCAGTATACCCTAAGCCATAGCCTGCAATCTGTCCTCTTCCCATTTCTCCACTTCAGCTCTCCAGGGGCAGCAACTAAGGTGTCTTGTTGGTAAGATACATTCCTATCTTAAGAGAGGTGAGTTGTAGCCACAACTCCATTCTGGGAGTTGGCTGAATTCCAGGACCTGGTAGTCTGTGAGCCTGATTGACCAGTTAACGTTTTTGATGACAGGAGATGCAGAAGAAACTGACTGAGAGGCCAAGGATGACTGATTCATGTAATACATGGGCAGGACAGATTCTTTAGGTGCCACTGGGAAGTTAGGAGGAGGAAAAAAATTCAATTTGCAAATGCATTTCCATATTGGAGATGTGAAATGTTATAGATAATTGAGGATCTTCTGCCTTTCCTTGTGATTTGCGAAGCAGGCTTGAGGGTAAACCTATTCTGCTTCCACAAAGACGAAGACTGATGGAAACTGCATTGCGGGTATTCTGAGTCCATGAGTTTGAATTGAGGCAGGCGACTCATGGCTCTAGCAGGCTGAAAAAGTGGCACTTTTCTCATTTGGAAAATGAAAGGCTTGGACTGCATAATCTTCCCTCCAGTGCTAACATTCTGCGTTTCTTTGATTTTACATCAAAATGGTGTTTTCTTAATCAGCTCTCTGCTGCTTCCTTTCTGCGATCATTTTTCTTCCCATGGCAGAAGCAGGCGCGAGTTTCCAATCAGTTGCCACAGAGAGCTGCTTAATTTTTGCTGTTAATCGGCAGGCAAAACACACTCTGGTTTTCAGATCTGGAACCAACTTCTTACCCAGACAGTTGGAAAAGACTGTTTTTGCCAATTGCTTTTTGAGGAAATCTGAGTATTAAAATGACTAAGTATTGATGTTAATGTGATTCATTCATTATCAAAAGAAAGCTGCATAACATTATAGCTTAAGAACTCTGCTTGGAACACAGATTCAACGTACATAACTCAATAGAAATATATAAATGGATCTATATGTACTTACATTGTGTGTGCATATCAGTTTACACACACATACACACAAGGCGTGGGGTTGATACTCCCCAGCTCAGGCCATCTATGATACTACTTACTTCTGCCACGGAAAGTCCATATAATCCAACACCATCTCTTCCCAGTATCTGGAATCTCAAATTAATATCTTAGAATTTAATTCTGTTAGCTGAATATAGATTCTTCCATAAATTCAGATAATCCTGAGAGTGATCATACTTTAAATAATCCTCAGTCCATTAGACCTTAATGTGCAATAATTGGATTTCTTTTTAAAGAGTAGATTTGGATAAAGGGGAAGGCGGGAGGGAAAGAAAGCAAGATGGCTCTAGAATTCTGAATGGAGTAAAACAGGGATTAAAATTGTGTGTGTATGTGTGTGTGTGTGTGTGTGTGTGTTGCTAGGTTGGAGGATAGATTGCAGAAAGACAAACTTTGGTTTGAGTTCATTCATTCCTGTGGGGCTAATCACTGTGCACAACTTTGTAAATAGCTTCTTTAAATTAAATTATTTTCTCCCTCTGGGCAGAAAGACAATAGCTTATTTGAATTGTATTTATACAGTTTATATTTTGTGTGTGTATTTATCTTACTTTTGACATTTTTATTTTCCTACTTTTTAAAATTTTGCCCTTATTTTTAAAATTATTTAAAAAATCTTGTGGTATATGAAGGTTGTGAGTTGCCTTAAATTCTTCTTTGGAAAGAGATATTGCATAAATCAACAGGCAGGCAAATAAAATCTTGGAGTGACTGTTTTTAAAAAAAGATTAAACACATTCATATCTTGGATTGACAACTATAAGAAAAAAGATTTGAGATAGAATAAAAATTATAAGCTTGCAACTAACAGCCTTGGAATCACTCAAGACAAACTCTCAATGATTGAAAGTTTTAAAAAAATGTTCTTGAAGCATCTCATGTAACTCACTATGCAAAATAAAATACAATCACATAAATGAAAATCCCAAACTTAAATGCCTTGGAGAGCTAGAAAGGTGAAGTAAATAAAGGAACAAGACACAGTAGTAAGAAATATTAGAGTCAGTAAGAACTCGAGAAAGCCTTTCTCACTGATGGACATAAGAATATGCTGTTAAACAAAACACTTGCAAAACCATTAGCTGTTAGTTTAAAACCTCTGTCATCCCTCCTCCACCGCGCTTTTATAAATGTGACCAAAATAAAATTTCTTGTAAAAATCTTCACAAAACAGGGAGAAATCGTAGGTCAGGAAGTTAAACTTTCTCCCCCCGCCCTTTTTTTTTTTTCAGGTTATTGGTTGCCTAGCTATAAATTAAAGTCTTCCTGGGCCACAGGCCTGCATCTCTCTGTCTTGTTTGGTCATGTGGAATGCCTTCTGGTGCTACTGGACCACAATGCTACCATCAACTGTAGACCAAATGGGAAAACCCCTCTTCATGTGGCTTGTGAAGTGGCTAATGTGGATTGTGTTAAGGTCCTCTGTGATAGAGGGGCAAAACTCAATTGCTACTCCTTAAGTGGACACACAGCTTTGCACTTTTGTACAACTCCAAGTTCCATTCTCTGTGCCAAGCAATTGGTTTGGAGAGGTAAGCCTTTCTGGGTGGCCAACATCGTTGTCTGCTTATACACTCATGGTTTCAAGACTTTGTGACCCCTACCTACCTCAGGTGATATGGTAAGCAGCATGATGCAATTACACCTAGTTCAGAGGCCCCTAAAAAATACGTACTTCTGTTGATCCAGGTAATTCAGTGACGATCACATTGGAATCTTACTATTATTTAATAGCAGGAAGTTCATTCGTTTACTCATTTACTTAACAAATATTTATTTAGCTCCTATTATACATCAGGTAATGTGCTAAGTAAATAAAAAAGAGAAAATATTCTGCCCTCAAAGCAAGTATATTTTAATAGGGAAGATAAATATTAACAAAACAAATTCATAAATATATAATTACACTTTGGGAAAGTGTTGTGAAGGAGTAAACAGGGGTTATGAATGAGAATGTCAGAAGTGAATTACCAGAAAATGTGTAAAGCCTTCTCTAAGGATATGCTAGGTAGACTGAAACTTTAAAAATGAGAAGGAGGCCCAGGTGCAGTGGCTCATGCTTGTGGCACTGTAACTTTTGGAGGCTAAGGTGGAAGGATCACTTGAGCCCAGGAGTTTGAGACTAGTCTGGGCAACTAGTAAAATAATTAGCTCGGCATGGTGGCATGCACCTGTGGTCTCAGCTACTCAGGAGACTGAGGCAATAGGGTCACTTGATCCCAAGAGGTCAAGGCTGCAGTGAACTGCTAATATGCCATTGCACTTCAGCCTGAGTGATGGGGTGAGACCCTGTCTAATAAAAAAAAAAAATGAAAGAGAAGGAGAAGGAGCTACCCATCAAGAAAGCCGAGAGGAAAAGGTGTCTAGCTATAGAAAATAGCTTGAGAAACGTTGCTAAGAGAGCAAAAACTTTGGAATACTACGCAGATGAAAGAGGGTTATATGACCAGAGTATCATGGGTGTGGGTAGGGTGGGAAGGACAAGAGGGTAGAGGGGAGTGTCACAAGATGACATTGGATGTGTTTGATCCCACAGGGCCTTTTAGGGTCAAACTGTAGGGCTCTGAAATAGAGCCACTGGAAAGTTTCCGGTAAGACGGTGACATGGTTTAATTTTCCCTTAAAGTCATTTTTCTGGAGTTACACAGAAAATAGGTTGGAAGTGGACAAGAATGGAAGTAGGGAGACCAGCAGGGAAGCTATTGTAACAGTCTAGGTGAGAGAAGATGGTGGCTTGCACTAGGGGCAAGCTTGGATAGGATGATCAGGAAATGGGTTTGCAATACATTTTGGAAGTAAAATTGTTGGGATTTGGAGATAGGTTGGATATGGGTGGGATGTGAAGGAAAAAAAGTCCCAAGTATCATTCATTGTTCGGTTTCTGGTTTTAGAAAATAGGCAGATAGTGATGGCACTTTTTGAGATAAAGAAACTTGAGGAAGAGGTATCTATGTGGGGATGATCATTAAATCCATTTTTTAAAAGTCAGTTTATGGAGTATAATTCTCACTCAGTAAAGTTAACAGTATATTCTAAATTTCCCTCTACTGGGGGGTAGATCATTAGAATGTTAGCCTTCTAATAGGTTTGTAATGGTATCTCTTTGTTTTAATTTGAATTTTCCTGATGACTAAGGATGTTAAATATGTTTTCCTGCATCGATTTGCCATCAGTATATTCTTTACTTTGGTGAAATACCTGTAACTTTTGCTCCTTTTAAAAAATGGGATTTCTGTATTCTTACTGATTTGAGAGAGTTCTTTATATATATTCTGGATACTAGTCCTTTATCATATACATAGTTTGCATGTATTTGTTCTTCATTCTGTAGCTTTTCTTTTCATTTTCCTAACCGTATCTTTCAAAGAGAAGAAGTATTTAATTCTGATAAATTCAATTTATCTATTTTATTTCCTCCAAGCAACAAAATTTGTTTTCTATGTTTATTTCTAGAGGTTTTATCATTTCAGATTTTGCTAATTCATTTTGAGTTAATTTTTGTTTATAGTATAAGGTATGGGTTAGGTTCATTTTTTCATATAGATGCCCAATTGTTTCAGCACCATTTGTTGAAAAGAATAGCCTTTCACCATTGAATTGCCTTAGTATTTTTGTCAAAAATCAATTGGCAATATACGTATGAGTTTATTTCTGGACTCCAGCCTATTCCATTGACCTATATATCTTTTTATTTATTTATTTCTAATACTCCATTGACTTGCTTGCTGTAGGTTTGAATCGAGTCTTGAAATCAGAAGAGTGAGTCCTCCTAGATCAGTTTTAAGTGTGAGAGTTTTCATATCTCTTTGAGACTTCGAAGTGAAAATGTCAAGGATGCACTTTATATAAAAGTATAGATTTCAGAACAGAGCCCCGGACTGAAGCTATAATTTCAGAATTGTTGGCCTATAGATTGTATTTGAAGCCACGGAAATCAATGGAATCACCTGGATAAAGAGTATATAATAGAGAAAGGTGAATCTATGTATAAGCCCCAATGAATTCTAATATTTCAATGTTAGAAGATGGGGAGAAACCAATAAAGGAGAGTAAGATATCCTGATAAATAAAATTGGAGAAAAGCAAGAACCCTTTGGCAACACGAGGACTAAGAAAGAGGTAGTTTCCAGAAGCAGAGAGTGGCTAGCTATAGTGATAGCGACACAGGCTTAATTAGATGTTCATTAGATTAGGTGACAGAGTTATCACTGACAAAAATAGTTTTGGTGAAACAGTGTTAAAAACCAGATTTGAATAGCATAAAGTGTAAATGGGTGGTTAGAAACTAGAGGTGTCATATGTAAATAATTGTTAAAAAGAAGTGAGGCTGCAGAAATGAACATAAGAAGAGCATGATTGCTGGAGGGGCTAAAGGGGGTCACAGGCAATTACTGTCATAGGAGAGCAGAGAAAAAGCTTCTGTGCCGAAGGAAATGATTCATAGAAAGAAAACAGTTGAAGATGCATGAGACATGATAACTGAAAGGTTCCAATCTTTCAGAAGTTGAGATGAGATGAAATCCAGAGGCTATGGGGTACATCCTCATTTTTAAGAAGTGGGACAAAGTAAAAAAGATGGTTTTAGATGCCAGAATGATTATAGATTTGATGGTGCTAAGCTGAGGGAGTTCTGATGGTTTCCCCTCCTCAATAATGTATCAGGCAAAATCATCAGCCAAAAAATGAGAGAACAGAAAGTGCGGACATTTCGATAAGAATGGAGAAAGAATGAGAAGTTCATGGAGAAAAAAATGGGATAAGACGCTTACTAAAGAATGTAGTAGGATTACTGGATTTATAAAAGATGCCATGTAGCCAGGAGCTGTGGCTTACACTTGTAATCCCAGAACTTTGGGAGGCTGAGGCAGGAGGACCATTTGAAGCCCAGGAGTTTGAGATCAGATTGGGCAACCTAATGAGACCACATCTTTACCAAAGGGAAAAAAAATTAACCATGCATGATGATGCAGCTGTAGTCCTAGCTACTTGGGAGGCTGAGGCAAGATTGCTTGAGCTCAGGAGTTTGAGGCTGGCTGCTGTGAGCTATTATTGGACCACTGCACATGAGCCTTTGTGAGCAAGATCTGTCTAAAAAAAAAAAAAGACATGATCTTTTCAACCTGTGGAAATGAAGGGGAAAAAATTCAGCCCAGCTTATTTTCTTTCTTCTTTGGTTCACCTGTCAAAAATGAGGATGTATACCATAGTCTCTGGAGTTCATCTCTCCCAGCTTCTGAAAGACTGGAACCTTTCAGTTATCCTGTCTTGTGTATCTTCAACTGTTTTATTTCTATGAATCATTTCCTTCGGCATGCAAGGTTTTTCTCTGATCTCCAAATATAGATAATACTGGTTTGTGACCTCCCTTCAGCTCCTTCCAGCAAAGATGCTCTTATTATGTTTGCTTTTTAGCCTCCCCCTTAGGAAGAAAGGGCCTAACATGGAGTTATAGGGACAAGGTTAGGCATCATTTGGAGCTTACCCACCTTTTCTGTGTGTGGCCATCACCACTTTCACATTTACTCATTCATTTATGTTTATATTTAGGTTTATCTTTATTGATTTTTAAATTTAATTAAACATGTAACCTTTATATTTTTAAGAGGTTTAGGAAATTTAGAAATTATATATTAATTTAATTATTAACTTGTAAATTAAAACATTTTTTGTCTTACTTTTTGTGATAAGAGTATTTAAGATCTACTCTCAGCAAATTTCCAATAAACAATGGAACGTTGTTAAGTATAGTCATCCTGTTGTACATTAGATCTTCAGAACTTATTCATCCCACATAACTGAAACTTTGTTAACTTTTTATGTTACTGCCTTTTCCTGTGACTTTATCAACCATAATCTGAGAGTGGCCAAACTTTCCCTAGAGGCATCACCTTTCCCAGCCGACACAATTATTCCCCATCTCTTTTGTTCCTGTCAACAGAGAGAGACTACCTAGAGATGAGAAGGAAGAAGGAAATAGTGGAAGCTTGGACAATACTTGTAGGCTGACACTAATGAATTAGGCTTATAATGATCAAGGAGAGAGAAAGAAAGTCCACTAACGTTCACTTACTCTTTTAAGCCATGTCATCAAAGGTCGAATTCACAAAGAAAATAAAGATAAATTAGAGAAAGCAAAAATATTCGGCTTCAATAGGGAAAACATCATAAAACTAAAAGGCAATCATAAAACTGGGGAAAATATTTAAGACTACATGACAAAGGGCTTACTGTATACAGAGATTTCTCAATTCAAGTAAGAAGGCTAACTCCTAAGAAAAAGAGGGAAAAAAGAAGAAAAAAAATGATTTAATAAAGAAAAAGAACAAAAAGACCAAGAACAGGATTACTTAAGGGAAAAAAAGGAATAATCATATAAACAACAAATAAATATATGACATAATGATAGCCTTCATTGGTAATCACTAACATGTCAATTAAAATAACAATTAGATATCCTGTTGTTTATTACATTGATAAGCATACAAAAGGTAATACATATGCGACAAACACATGGGGAAGTGCTCTCACACAC